GTCATCCGAGGGTCGCCAGCGCTAGAAGCCGCTCTGGTCCGAGGCCTACTCGATGAATCGGGTAGAGAACTATAGATTTCTTCAGCCACCCTTCTGCTGGACATCGAGAAGTTTTACGACAGTTTGGACATCGCGAAGTTGTGCGCGGCGGCCTGGACGCAAGGCTTGTCAGCTACGGCGTTGCCATTGGAGTCGCACCCAGATACTTGAAGGATCGATCTTGGATTTCACATCTCATTCAGTCCGAGCGAGGCACTGCGGCAGGTTCTCTCATGGAGGTCGCATGACGAAGGCCTTTTGGGGGCCTATCTTGGCCAGAGCTCACGACAGATACGGTTTTCAGATTCTGATGCGCGCATTTGTAGATGACACCGCTATCAGAGTGGAGGGCACCGAAAGTAATGTTATTGATAGTATAGCAAGCCGGGCAGCAACATGTGTGGGGAGTTGGTTCTCGCAAGTCTGACGGTGAGTGACAAGACGGTTTTGGTGGCCTCCTCGAACGGGATTGCGCCCCGGGTCGCGAAGCAATTTCGGGAACGCGGGGTACCTGTTGCAGTTTTCCACGGATGTCGTTGACTTGGGAGCGACTCGTCTGGCGGGCAGGAGGAGCAACCTTAAGAAGATGAAGGAACGAATATCCAAGGGTCGTCGGCGATTTCAAGTTATACGTAGGATGCGACGGTGCCCGAAGCTGAGGCACATCACTTCTTCGCTGTGGTCGATGGGGGTCCGTCCTCCGTGTACTTGCGGCCATCAAGCTTACGGAGTTCCCAACCATCTCTTTACGTGTCTCCGTCGGCAAGATGCACAGTGTTCGGTCGGCAGCGGGCCTGGTCTTTGCCTGACTACTGCGGTGGCGATGAAGCTCGAGACCCTGCGAATTCGACTCGACGTGAACAGTTGTGCTCATGGTTGAGGACGTGGCGAGAACATCCTGAGTACCATGCGCGCGTGGCCCTAGCGATTTCAGATCGCAGGATCGAGGAGATGGCGGCTGGCGAAAGGACCGATTGGAGCTACGAGTGCGACATTATATGGCATTGGCTGGCACCCGTGTTTTCGTATGATTTGGCCATATGTTCGGCGTTGTTGGTCGATTCCGTCTGTGGTGGACGATGAGTTCAGCAGTTTCCATGGCGACTTTACGGATATCCTGGACGGCGTCGAGGCGACCATACACTCTTGGTTGTGGAGGTCAGCGGCGAACCACTTGGCTTGCACGGACCTCGGTGGCGGCGCGGACATGGACCACGCGCGCAGAGAGATGGCCAGGTTCGGGACCAGCGACCTGGGCGACAAGTGGGCCTTGAACGCGGTGGTCGCCACGGGGGGCCAGTGGACGCGCGAGCGTCTGTGTGGTGCAGGCTGCGAGGTCCCGAGTCTCGTGTGTCAACGGTGCCAGAGGGCACCAGAGACGCTGTTTCACAGAATTTGGGCTTGCGAGGCCAATGTTGGCCACGCATATTTCACGAAATCCGGTATTTTATGTGATCAGGCCCGAGTTAACCACGAGAACGATCCGAGTTTTCGGCTCCGGGGGGGCCCCAGGGAGAGGGGAAACGATTCCCAGTTCCAACGAAGACATCAATTCAATCCCGCGCGACGCCGAGGGTTATGCTACCGTTTTCGGGGACGGATCGGGGGGTCGCTTTTCGGATGACCCTCGGCGTCGCAGGGTTGGCGCAGGCGTAGTGGCGCTCGCGCCAGAGGGAGTATTTGGGAAGTCGGCATGGGGCTTCGGAACCACCATCCAGGGGAGGAGGCAGACGGTGCCTCGCGCGGAGATTATTGTCCTCGCCTCTGCAATGGAGATCCCCCCAGGCCGACTGCGTTTCATCGCCGATCATCTTCCGATTCGGTCGACCTGGTCTAGAGGAAGGCGTTTCGGGTTTGAGAACGTTGGGGGAGCCAACGCCGATCTCTGGTCCAGGGTAGCTTCAGCACTCCAGGCCAGAGAGCCTGACGACGTGCTGCTCGAATGGGTTGCCTCCCACCAAGAGGAGGCGACACCCGATCCGACGCCGACGAATTCCGTGCGTTCGGCAATGAATGTGCTGACGATATGGCGTCGGCGATGGCTGAGATTTCGTGGACCCGTTTTTTGCTTCTGACCCTCCTGACAGGAGGGATTCGGCAGCCGCCTTGGCTTGCTCGTCGGGCCCTGGGATGTGCGATGTTGTCGGATCCGTGGTCCGTGGAACGGCCGAACATCTGTGATCTTGCACCCCTCCCGAAGTTGGCGCGTGTTTTGAGGGACTCCGACCATCGATGCGGTCGTGCGGGTGCGAAGTTTTACTGCACGCAGCGTTCGCAGTTTTCGAATCACGGTTCGATGTTTCAAGCGTGTGCGACCCAGTGCTCGTGCAAGCATTTTCGGGAGTTCGAGCCTCTGCGTGGGCCCCAGGGAGCCAGCGGCAAGGTCTTCCACCCGTCGCACTCGTTGCAGTATTGGAGCAAATACTGCCTCACGTTTTGCGGATTGAGTTGCACCACCGACCTTCGGCAGTTGGTTAAGGAATGTGCCCCCTCGCCCAAAGGGAGACAAAACTTGGGTCGAATTAGTGCGGGTAAGTATCCCCGCCCCTCGGGCCCCCCGAAGGCGGTCCGTGAGGCAGAGGTGTGTAGAATTGCCAAATGAGCATGGATTGTCGTCGTCCTCTAAGCGAACATTCCCGAACATTCTTTTTCCTCGGGACAATTCTGAGGATCAGGAGGAGGAGGAGGAGGAGGAGGAGGAACGAGGAGGAGGAGGAGGAAAGAGGAGGAGAGAGAGGAAGAACATGAGGAGGAGCAGGAGGAGGAGGAGGAGGAGGAGGGAGGAGGAGGAGGAGCGAGGAGGAGGAGGAGGGATCTGGAGTCTCGCGGGTGGCATGGACGCTGGAAACCGTGTGTTGGCACATTGGATCTTGCAGTCTGGGGGCCGCCACCGCGCTCTTTCACGCGGGAATGCCACACACAACCTGTTTCAAGTTCAATCCTACGGCTTCCGAGCTGAAGCCACGCACACTCACGTGGGATCCTCCTATGGCTTGGGAGCTGTCCAGTGGCCTGGGGCTTTGATTTAACGACAGCCGAGCGGCTCGACAGGTCGGGGTCTCCTCTGTTGAGACAGATCCCTTCATACGGACCCAGAGCCCCTAAGACGCCCCCGACTGCCATCAAGAGGATGCCCGAAAGGGCCTCAGAAGCAAAAATCATGCGTTTTCCTGTTGCGGTTGAGTGGCTTTGGCCTCAGGAGGACCCTGCTGCCCCAGAAGATTCCGAGATGGCCCACGAGGACCCCGAGACGGCCCACAATGGCGCCAAGACCGCCCTGGAAGCTCCCAGACTGCCCCAGAAAGCCCCCAAGACGCCGCCCACTGCCATCAACAGGACGTCATGGAGGGCCACAGTAATCACAACTTTTGACTTTTGAAGGTTTTTGGCCTTCTCCCCTTCTCGAGTCCCCGACCCTCCAGGACGGCCCTACGGTCCTCCCAGATCGCGCCGTGAAGGCGCAAGAGGTTCCCAAGGGCACCCCAAGACGGTCCGAGGAAGTGGCCCAGAAGGGCCTTAGGTCGCCCCGAAAAGGCCTCAGGAGGGCGTCCAAGAGCGCCCCAAGATTGCCCCAGCGGCTCTCAGGCGCTCCCAGGCGCTTCCCGGGGCCTTCGGTGGCCGTGGGAGAGGGCCCAGAAGGGCGCCCGGTCCTCGTCTTCGAAGCCTCGAAGCCACGATCTTCCTTCGAGGAGAAAGGGATGCTGACACCGCTACACGCCGGTCGTTGAAAATAGATGGTTTGGGGTTCCTGATCGAAAGCTACAAGCGCCTTCCTATTCCAAACATCGCCATGCTTGTGTTGTTTTTGTTACTCTTTGGGCGGGCCCGAGCCCAATCTGTTGCATCCGCCTTTCTACTTCATGCTTCTGCCTACATGTTCCGACCGGCGGGCAGAGGAGGAAGGGATGCCGACACCGCCACCGTCGCCCTTACCACGGCCGGATTCGCCTCGAAATTCTTGTCAGAACGCAGCCCAGGCGAGGTCCGCGGACAAGTGGTACGGGTATGTATCTTTTCCTCCCCCCAGGGCCTGCATCCTCGGTCCATCCCGGGGGGTCTCCATTCTCCTGGGACTCCGTCTTCACCTAGGAGACCCGAGACACACTGAGGAAAAACGATAAATCGTGCAAAAAAGTCAGACCAGGGAAAAAACCCAACTGAGGAACAGAAAGGAAAGCTAGCAGAGGAGACGTCGGCGACTCGGGCCCGTCACGTGATGCGAATCTGAGGGGGGAGTAGGAGAAGGCGAATATAGGGGAGGAAGAGGAGGGGGCGTCGGTGGGGAGGGGGGAGCTTCGCATCACGTGGCGACATCCCTCTGCCTGAGACACCCCGAAGCCCCGAAGTTTCCGCGGCAGCGGCGGCGGCCGCTCCTCGGCGCACCCCCCGCGCGCCCCGTGGCCTCACGGGGAGAGCTCCGCCGTGCGGCACCAGTTGGGGCCGACCACATGGCGCATCGAGGAGGAGGAGGAGGAGGAGGAGGAGGAGGAGGAGGAAGAGGAGGAGGAGGAGGAGGAAGGGGGAGGAGGAGGAGGAGGAGGAGGAGGAGGAGAGGAGGAGGAGGAGGAGGAGGAGGAGGAGAGGAGGAGGAGGAGGAGGAGGAGGGAGGGAGGAAGGGGGGGGGAGGAGGAGGAGGAGGAGGAGGAGGAGGAGGAGGAGGAGAGGAGGAGGAGGAGGGGAGGAGGAGGAGGAGGAGGAGGAGGAGGAGGAGGAGGAGGAGGAGGAGGAGGAGGAGCAGGAGGAGCAGGAGGGGGAGGAGTCGGCCCTTGATTCGGCACGCCCCTCTCACGCCTCGCAGCCCCGTAGGGAGCTCCACCCGCGAGACGACCACGACCATGACCACGACGACGACGCCGACGACGACGACGCCGGCGACGGCGACGGCAACGGCGACGGCGACGGCGACGGCGACGGCGCCAGCGGCGAGCGGCGGGCGGCGGGCGGCGACAACGGCTCCCGAGGGGCCGCCGCCTCCAGCGCGCCAGCCGCCGCGCCCGCGACGGGCGGCGAGGGCGACCGGGGAGGCAAGAAGCGGAAGCTGGGGCAGGAGCTGCGGCCGCTCGTGGGGAGGAGGAGGAGGAGGAGGAGGAGGAGGAGGAGGAGGAGGAGGAGGAGGCGAGGGGGAGGAGGAGGAGGGGGAGGAGGAGGAGGAGGAGGAGGAGGAGGGAGGAGGAGGAGGAGGAGGAGGAGGAGGAGGAAGAGGAGGGCGACTGGGGAGGCACGAAGCGGAAGCTGGGGCAGGAGCTGCGGCCCCTCGTGGGGGAGGGTCAGGGGCGGCCTGAGGAGCCCCCTAGCAAACCATCCCCCTCCGTGTCGTCTCCCCCTCCTCGCCCCCAAAGCGTGCGTATGCGGCCGGAGGGGGGCTCGAGAGGCGAGGGTGTCGTCACGGAAGGGGGTGGTTTGCTACGGGTCGGTTAGGCCGCGCCCGAGGCGGGGGCTATCGCTGGGCCTCGGGAGCGTCAACAAACGACTCAGGACGAACAACCGGTCCCGAAGGCCACGAACGGCTCGAACCCGTTCCCGGAAGTCGGCCTCGCATTCTTCTCCCCCTCCACCCGCACATTCGGGCGGGCACCCATGCAGCTATTGCGCCACATGGCTGGGTGCTCCAGTGCTCCTCGCGCCGCCGAGGCAGCCCGGCAGGGCGGAGAGGACCTCGCACACCGTGACGCTCATGACGAAGGACACGCTTGCGGCGCCCCTGTGTGGCGCTCACGTGCCCAACAACACCGACACCGTCGACATCTACGAGCTGTGCGATGGGGAGCCACATTAAGGACACCTCCGGGCCTGGCGCTGCACGCGCTGAAGGCAACTTACCCCGATAACTCGATCATGGACACGCCTGCGGCGCCCTGGCGCGGCGCCCACGTGCCCTACGACGCGAACGACAGCATCGGCATCACCGAGCCGTACAATGCACCTCTCGAGAAGGCCCGAGAGGACCCGCTGGACCCCCACATCCCCGATGTGCCATATCTCGCCATTCAGATCTTCGTCAGCTCTGTCTGCGCAGCCAGCGGCGCCGACATCTCGCCCATCACCTCGCTGCGCCTCAGGCCCTGCGCAATCCCGTTCCATCAAGCGCGCAGGTGACCCGCGGCGCCCTCTCGCGCGTGGAAGTGTGCACATCAGGCACGCGCGCCGAGACGCAGGACCATCAGGCGCGGGCACCACCAGATGCAGGTGCGAACGCCATCGAGAAGCCTGGCGCTGACATCATGACGAACGATGCTGAGGAGGGCGGCACCACGGGACGCCCGACGAATACGCCGCTATCTCTCTCTCTCTCTCTCTCTCTCTCTCTCTCTCTTTCTTGCCTGGCACCGAATCTCCTCAAGCGAGGACCTGGCCGACGCGCGCGAGCTACCCGCCGACATTTACGAGGGCTATCACGAAGAGCGCGCGCATCAACACGACCCTCTGCGAAGCCATCGCGCACGCCGAACCACTTACGGGCGCCCGCGAATACAGACACGGCGCCCCCCAGAAGGCCTCTTCGATCCGTTCGCGGACTTCGCAGAGCACGGCGGAGGGAAGGATCTTTAGCATCGACGCCCGTTTTTTCACTCTCGTGTTATTTGCCCATGTGCTCTCTTCTTCCCACTCCCTTCCCATCCATCCATTATCCATTATCCTCGGGCTGCCCCCCCCCCTCCTGCCGGACACGGCTGTTTGCGCGCGAGCGCTCGAGTGCGGCAAGAGGCGGTCACGCCCCGCAGCGGCGAGCGCAGAACTGCATAGCCAGAATTGTTCGTGCTGCTGCGGCGCTGCGCAAGGCGTCAGCGTTGTGCAGTGTGGCAGTAGTGCCCAACGTGGTGATACCCATGAGCTTAAATCACGTATCGTGAAGATGTTGCTCATTGCTCCCATGCCGTCGTAAAAAACTGGCCCCGGGGAAGCGGTGTGGATTTCCAGGGCCCACGCATCGAAAAAAAATGAGCAGCGGGGCGCCAGGGTCTAGGCTTCCTAGATGGGGTCGGAGCAGATGGGGTCGGAGGATCGCGCCGCATCGCCGATGCTTCAGCGATGCGGCTTGATGTGGAGCCCGATTTTCTCCACGCCGATGGCGCCGGTGCTTCGCTGATGCGACGCGATACTCCGACCCCATCCACTCCGACCCCATCTAGGATGCCTCTAAAATCATGGGCGCCTGGTATACCCTTTGAATTCCGTCTCTAGCGTCGGTTAGCGTGGATTCGCATATGGGAATCGAGGATATAGCACCGATCCAGAGTCGGCTCGCGCCGACCAGCGTCGATTCAGCGTCGATTAGCGTCAGGGGGTCGATGAGATGGCGCCGACCCAGCGTCGGTTAGCGTCGATCCGCGTCGGTTCAGTGCCGATGAGTGTCGACTAGCGTCGATCAACGTCGCCTCGCAAGAGCCGACGAGATTGTATTGGGAGGCCCCAGCGAGTTGCCACCGAGGGTGAGGAGCTGACCCCAGGGGCGGGCCAAGGGTCCAGGACCCGTTTCCCGCCAGGCCCGCTACGCTCGAGCCCCAGAGCTGCACGAGGCACATGGGCATCGATTCGCGCCGGTCGTTGAAAGTGGGTATTTGTGGACTCCCAGATCCCAATCTGCTTCTAGCGCTTTCGTATTGCAATAATCGTCATGGTGTTGCTGTGTTGTGCTACTCTCTGGGAAGACTTGACCCAACCTACTTTGTCCGCAATCCTCCTTCATATGTTTATCTACTTTTTCCGACTGACATGTTTTCGGAGGTCCGCGCGAATTTCTCGCATTGGCGCTGGAGTCCCCGTCCTGGCTTGGTGATATCCTGGGTGCGCCTTTGGACGAACGGCGGCACCCTGATCGGCGCGACGGGGGATTATCTGCCAGACACTTTCGCGGATGTGATCGTTTTTTAATTTAGTGTTTCGCCGATCTGCGCGGGCCCCCCCCTCCCCCCATGGAGTAGGTCTTGGCTATTTGTTTCGCGTTTGTTTCGACCGGGCGGAGTCTCCCCCAGGGGCCGCACTCTTGCAAACAGTCGCACGCATGTTTCGAGCGGGTGGAGTCTCCCCCAGAGGCCGCACTCTTGCAAACAGTCGCACTCAGCAGAGGTCTGGAGCCCCCCCCCTCCGGCCCCCCATGGAGTTGATCTTGGCTGTTTTTTCGCGCCTGTTTCGAGGCCGAACTCTTGCAAACAATCGCACTAAGCAGAGGTCTGGAGCCAGACCCCCCCCTCCCCCCCCCTTCGCCGCCCAATGTCGAAACGCCGACAAAAAAAATCCCTCACGAGGGGGGGCTGCGGCGGAGCAGGAGAGGTGTCCGCGGCGCAGTCGCCCCGAGGCTGTGAAGCGTGGAGGTCGTCGTGCTCTGCTCCGCCTCGGCGGCCGCCGTGCACTGCTCCGTCGAGCTGGCGCGCGCGAGCGCCGGCCCGCGCCCCGAGGAGGACAAGCCCGCCGTCCCAGTGGCGCGCAGGCAGCTCGGGTCGGGCCTCGAGTACGAGGTCCCCCCGCGTCCGCCCGCCCCGCGGCGTGCGCCCTCTACGCCGCTTCGGCGGCCGCCGCCGCCGCCTCCGCCGTCGTCGTTGTCGTCGCCATCGTCGTCGTCGTCGTCGTCGTCGGCGGCGGCGGCGGCGTCGGCGTAGGCGTAGGCGTCGGCGTCGGCGTCGGCGTCGTCGGTCGTCGGTCGTCGGTCCTCGGTCGTCGGTCGTCGGTCGTCGGTCGTCGGTCGTCGTCGTCGTCGTCGTCGTCATCGTCGTAGTCGTCGTCGTCGTTGTTGTTGTCGTCGTCGTAGTCGACGTCATAGTCGGTCCTCGTCGTAGTCGTCGTCGTCGTCGAAGTCGAAGTCGAACTCGTAGTCGGTCGTCGTCGTCGTCGTCATCGTCGTCGTCGTCGTCGCTCCGTCCGTCCGTCCGTCTGTCCGTCCGTCCATCCGTCCATCCGTCCGTCCAACCGTCCGTCCGTCGTCGTCTTCCGTCATCCGTCGTCCGTCGTCCGTCGTCTGTCCGTCCGTCGTCGGTCCGTGGTCTATCGTCCGTCGTCCCTCGTCGTTGTCCTCGTCGCCGCCGCCGCCGCCCGTCGTCCGTCGTCGTCTGTCGTCGTCGTTGCTCCTTGTTGCCATCGTCGTCTGGCAACGGCCGTCGTCCGTCGTCGCCATCGTCGTCTGGCATCGTCCGCCGTCGTCCGTCGTCATCGTCGTCTGTCGTCGCCATCGTCGTCCGTCCTCGTCTGACGTCGTCCGTTGGGACGTCGTTTATCTTCGTCGCCGTCCGACGCAGTAGGCGTTGTCGTCCGACGTCGCCGCCGTCCGTCGTCCGTCGGCGCGCGTCGGTCGCCCCGACGCTGCCGGTCGCCTCTCCTGCGCGCGCTAGCTGCCGGCAGGTGCTGAAGGCCGGGGCAGGCTTCCCGCGGCACCGCGCTGTTGCGGGCGGTTCGGCGGCTCGCAGCTGCTCGGAGACGGCGGCGGTTCGGCGACGGCAGCGGTTCGACGACGGTGGTCGGTGGCCAGCGATGGCGACAACGACGACGACGGCGACGGCGAAGATTACGGCGGCGAAGAAGACGGCGGCGAAGACGGCGGCGAAAATCTTCAATCATCCCTCGTGTGGGTTTGCGCTCCAGTGCGTACACAGGGAATGACAAAATCGCACGTCTGGCCGGGGATGTTTTGGGGCGATGTGCCCCCGGCTCCCGGAGGAGGCGGAGGAGGAGGGAGGAGGAGGGAGGAGCGGGAGGAGGAGGAGGAGGAGGAGGAGGAAGCAGAAGCAGAAGCAGTAGAAGCAGAAGAAGAAGAGGAGGAGGAGGAGGAGGAGGAGGAGGAATGTCTGCTCTTCCAGAGGAGGCCGAGCAGGAAGCCAGGAGGAGGGACGAGGGCGGACGGAGTGTCTTTCCTTTCCTTCCAGCCCGCCTGGTCTCCTTGCCTCATTTCCCCCCCCACGGAGGCCCTCGTCCCTCTCCTCTTTCCTTACCCCCTGCGTCGCCCCTCTCCTCACCCGCACCCCCTCCTCCCCCCGCCAAACGAGGAAGGACGACGACGACGACGACGACGACGATGACGACGACGACGACGACGACGACGACGACGACGACGACGACGACGACGACGACGACGACGACGGCGGCGGCGGCGGCGGCGGCGGCGGCGGCGGCGGCGATGGCGGCGGTCGCGGCGGCGCGGCGCGGCGACGACCGGCGACCGAGAGCCCCCGAGGCCCTCCGAGGGCCGCCGAGGGCCGGCGGGGGCCGGCCAGGGCCGCCCACCCAGGGCAGCCGAAGGGCCGCACGGGGAGTCCTGGACGTCCGAGCGATGGCGAGAACGGGAGGGAAGAGAGGTGCACTTCTCGGGCCCTGAAGGGCCCCTTTTGGGGGGGCCCCAAAAGGGCCACTCAGGGGCCCCCTTCTTCTGCAGCCCTCGCTGCCCCCCCCATCTGTCGCATCCCCCTCACGCGACGCCCGAGAGAGGCCCCGCCGCCGCCTCGGGCAAGACCGTGCAGGTGAGGTACGAGGGCCGCCTCGCGAAGACAGGCGGGTCGGAGGGCGCCAACCGCACCCAGAGCAGGGCTGGGCCTGAGCGCTGTTTTGCTGGACTTCGGCGGTGCCTCGTTTTTCGCTTTCGGAGGGAGGTGCAGGAAGACAGGCAGAGCAAAACGGAACACATGACATAAAAACAGCACGAACAACAACGTTCAGGTCCAGCCCTGACCTAGACCCCCTGGCGCTGCGACCAAAACAGATCATGGCGGCGCGATCAAAACAAAACACTTTCGGCCTCTGGGGGCCCTCGCCGGCCTTCGAGACCGTCAAGAAGCGATTCGGGATGAGGAACCGGTCCCTGGGAAGGGGTGACCTCTGGGGGACGACGTCATGATCAAGTCACGAAGTCCGGGGTCTGGGAAAACACCGGCACCGACCCTCGCCGGTCCCACCCTCGGCCCAGGATCGGTGCACACGCCCTTCCAGCCTGGGGGGGCGAGGGGAAGGGGAGGAGGGGGAGGGGGGGAGGGACAAACCAGGTGCGCTCGCGCAACATCTGAAGTCACACCCCTCCCTCCCATCCCTCACCGTGGCGCAGATATCCTCTCTATTCGCACAGCCGACTGCCGAGCAAGGCAATGATCCCCAGAGGGTACGCGATGGATGGTAGAGCACGGCATAGCATGGCGTAGAAGCGCACGGCGGAGCATAGCATGTCATAGCATGGCGTGTCATTGCGTGATTAGTGAAGCAGCGCATCACAAAGCATTGCAACGCAAAGCATGGCATCACGCTGCATGTGATGGCATGGCACCGGGTTCCTTGGAGTTGATTGTCTTCGAGGGGTCTGGGCCTGTCTGAAATCGCGGTTCCCTGTTCAGCTCCCTGGGCTCCCCGGACAGCTCCCCATGAGGCGGAGCTGATAGAGAGCACCCGCTGGGTCTGCTTTCAACATCGCCTTCTCAAAGTACGTAGAAACGGGGCTCCCGCCTGATACCGTCTGAAAACGATGCAGCGGCAGCACGATTTGGAACGACCAGAGGCGCAGAAATGGAGCCAGCGCTGCAGCGGAGCAGCATTTTGCAGGACCGAAAAGAATGGGATGGCCAAAAGCACGTGAAAACCAAACTCCCGGCATTCCTGTGTGTGAAAAACCGTACGCGGAGGGGTGCCGGCCATCTCCCGCACAGACCCAGGGGAGAGGGGAGAGCAGCATTCCTATGGTGCAATTGTGGAGGGAGGGGGGGAGGGAGGAAGGGAGGAGAGAGGAGGGGGGGGAGGAAGAGACGAGGGGAGGGGGGGAGGGGGTCACCGAGCGCGTTCCACGACTCGCAAGGTGCCTACTCGCAAACGCCCGAAAAACACACGTCTGCTTCCATGTAATTCATCGCAGATCCCCCGAGGCGGATCCGGGCCAACTGCGAGTAGCTGCTGTGCGAGCAGTGGAACGCGCTCGTCTAGGGGGGGGGAAGAGGAGGACCATGTTTCGGACTCCGGACGGCCCCCTGGGGTTCGGCGGCCCTCCGAGGCCTGCGGGAGCCTAGGGCGCTGCCGCCGCGGCCGGGGGGCATTCTTGTTTTTTGGTGTTCTGGCGCTGCCAGATGTGGCCCTTGGAGGAGGGAGGGAGCGAGGGAGGGTGGAGAGAGGGAGGGGGAGGCGGGAGGAGGGAGGCGGAAGGAGGCGGGAGAAGGGACAAGGGACGAGGGACGAGGAGGGGGGAGGGAGGGGGGAGGAGGAGGGAGGGGGGAGGCGGGAGAAGGAGGCGGGAGAAGGGAAGCGAGGCGGGCGCAGGGGGGAGGGGAAGGGAGGCGGGAGGAGGGAGGCGAGAGGGAGGCGGGAGGAGGGGGGAGGGACGAGGTGGAGGGACGAGGAGGGAGTGAGGGAGGAGGGAGGAGGGATGAGGGAGGTGTCACAATCGGAATCGGAACAGACGCGAAGCGGCACGATAAGACTCCCACAACTATCTGGGTCTCAAACCTCAAGGCGTGAGCGCAGCGTCATCGAACGGCTTAGCTAAGTCTGCTCGGTTTGGAATCACACACACACATGCGACACAACCACACACACACATGCGACACAACCACATACGACTGACTGCATTATATAACCATTGTATGCGATGCGTGTACGCAGCGCCCGCCAAGGTGCACTCCTGATCCTGGGGCCGCCCGAAGCAACTCAGCACGCACCTGCAGCGAAGGGACACAGTCGATGCCTAGCCAGGCCGTCCTCGCGGCCTCGCGTGTATTCGAAAAACATTTGGTGCACCACCCACCCTTGGGGTCCAGCTGATGGGCGTGAAATGATGGCAATGGCAGCAGGCGGTGGCGGCGGTGGAGGGGGAGGGGGAGAAGGAGGGGGGGCAGTCTCGGACGGATGAGGATTGTCAAGTTTCGTTGCTCGTTGCCATGACATCCAATTGTGTGTTAATTAACGCGTTCCGTGCGAGACAGGCTTGAGCCTCGACTTCCAGCACCCTCGTCGTTTGACCCTGCGGCAACCGATAGAGCCCAGCACAAATACCCCGAAATCTCGTCGGCGACCATATTTCCAGCCACGAAGTGCGACTGGATTTGGCGAGTGATCGTCCCAGCCGGGATAAGATGAGACGGCATCCAAAGTACCATAAACGAAGGAGTTGGTCCATCCTGTTCCCTAAGTAGCGTACCTGTATCCCTCCGAAGACTCGCGAGCCCTCCGTTCGGGTATATGGATGTATATGCACACACACACACATGTATGCATGCATGCATGCATGCATGCATGCATGCACGCACGCATGCATGCATGCATGTATGTATGTATGTATGTATGTATGTATGTATGTATGTATGTATGTATGTGTATATATATATATATATATCATACCTAAGATACGCCGGGGCCCCTCCCGGGGCGTCCTCCACCTCGCTCACATCTGGGTTACGTTTCCAATACCGCGCTTCCCGGCCTCCCGGTGAGCTCCCAAAATGCCCAAAGACAGCCCAAGACGACCCTAAGAAGCCCCCAGAACGTAAAAGAAAGGCCCAAGACGCTCCCAGGCAACCCAGGATAGCTTTCGGGTGGCTCTCTAGGCTCCCAGGAGGCCTCCAAGAGACCTCAAGAGAGCTCTGAGAGGCTTCCCGAGAGCGCCAGAGAACCTAAAATCTGTTATTTCCCAACCCTCCTTGGTTGGGTATTCGTTTTGAACAGAGCACCGTGGTCGCGTCTTGCTCCTGCCGCCTCCCGCCTCCCTCTTGTCTCCTCTCGCCGTGTGGGTTGAGGCACCGCCCAGATTTGAGCGAGACCTCTCCCTCCCTGGGTGGCTGTGATTTGTGAAACTGCCGCCAGTTTCGAGGACTGCTGGCGAGGCCAGCATATCCAAAGTGGACCTTGCCATCTCTGGGGGGCTGCGATCTGTGAAACTGTCGCCACTTTCGAGGCCTGCTGGGGAGGCCAGCAGAGAGGGTACTCACCGCGGATCCAAACAGGACCTCGCCATCCTTGGGGGGCTGCGATCTGCGAAACTGTCGCCACTTTCGAGGGCTGCTGGGGAGGCCAGCAGAGAGGGTACTCACCGCGGATCCAAACAGGACTTCGCCATCCCTGGGGGGCTGCGACCTGTGAAACTGTCGCCACTTTCGATGGGCTGCTGGGGAGGCCAGCAGAGAGGGTACTCACCGCGGATCCAAACAGGACCTCGCCATCCCTGGGGGGCTGCGATCTGTGAACTTGTCGCCACTTTCGAGGGCTGCTGGGGAGGCCAGCAGAGCGGGTACTCACCGCGGAACCAAACAGGACCTCGCCATCCCTGGGGGGCTGCGATCTGGGAAATTGTAGCCACTTTCGAGGGCTGCTGGGGAGGCCAGCAGAGAGGGCACTCACCGCGGATCCAAACAGGACCTCGCCATCCCTGGGGGGCTGCGATCTGTGAAACTGTCGCCACTTTCGAGGGCTGCTGGGGAGGCCAGCAGAGAGGGTACTCACCGCGGATCCAAACAGGACCTCGCCATCCCTGGGGGGCTGCGATCTGTGAAACTGTCGCCACTTTCGAGATGCGGATCTCGCTGAGGGGCTGCGACCAGAAGAGAGAGAGGGCACTCACCGCGGATCCAAACAGGACCTCGCCATCCCTGGGGGGCTGCGATCTGTGAAACTGTCGCCACTTTCGAGGGCTGCTGGGGAGGCCAGCAGAGAGGGTACTCACCGCGGATCCAAACAGGACCTCGCCATCCTTGTGTCTTTTAAATACTCGACCCCCTGTCCCATGAGGTCCCCCAGAATGTTCTCAGAGTTTGATAGGCTTCACACTGTGCTCAGTGTGAATGGGGAGCCTGCCTGTGCCAGGCTGACTGCGTCCGACACCGTTGTGGCTCAAGCGCGCAGAACATCCGGGAGGAAGGGGGCCTCCTGCTTGTCGCCCCGCGCGCCCCCGGGCCTCTAGAGTCCCTCGATCCGCCCGCGAACCTCTTTCACATGGTAGCAGGAGCGTGATGGTTGGGCAGGGACAAGGGCCAGCGGGCGCCGCCGAGGGAGGCGAGCAGCCCCCCCCGCCCGACGAGGTGGAGCGTGCTGCCAGAGCAGCACTAGCAGCAGCAGCAGCAGCAGTAGCAGCACCAGCGCCCGAGGCTCCCAGCGGAGACCAAGGGGCGCGAGTGGAGCCGGCAACGGCAGGGAGCGGCAGCCGAGGGACAGGCCGCGCGGGAGCTCCCTTGCCGGCAACGACAGCAGAGGAGGCAGACCCCTGGCTGCAGGGGGACCCGTGGAGCGACGCGGCAGGGAACAAGAATGCCGGCTGGTGGAACTCGTGGAGAGAATGGTGGGGCTCAGCCAGCTGGTGGACCAGCTCTCAGGTGAATGAAGACGCAGACCACTGGTGGACCAGCTCACCGGCAGACGAGGGCGAGGTCTGGGTCACCATCCAGAGGCCGCGGCAGCCGCCGCTCCCCCACGCGCTGATGCGCGGAGCGGCCGGGAACGATCCCGCCACGGCGCAGGAGCCGACCTCAGCGGGCACGTCAAGACCGCGCGAGGCCCCTCCGTCG